TCATAAGACAAATTACGGAAAGTGAACTCAAACAAAAAGTGACACAATGCATTTGCAACCAAATAACTTTACAAAGCAAAAACTTAAATTACTTGTCAAGCTTACTATTCTTATTTTAACAATTAAAAAATTAAATTTTATTTTTTATTTAAAAAAATCATCTTATATCATCTGATATATATATATAACAGCATTAATATTTCAATGATTCACAAATCAACTTTTTCATTATTTTAAATTATTTTGTCTGAATGTTAAACTATTCGGACAAAGTTTCCCGCTGTTTGCGAAGGAATTGTTGGCTATGAGTACTGGTTCATGATCAGTACATCATAGCCAACAATTCCTTATACAAAGTTCAAAAACTTGGGTGCAATCAGAACTGATTGCACCCAAGTTTTTGAACTTTCTCGAGGGAATGAAAGGGTAAGAGGTATACATTATGAATATATACCTCTTACCCTTCCATTCCCTCTCTGACAGCGGGAAACTTTGTCTGAATGTTAAACTATTCAGACAAAGTTTCCCGCTGTTTGCGAAGGAATTGTTGGCTATGATGTACTGATTCATGATCAGTACATCATAGCCAACAATTCTTATACAAAGTTCAAAACTTGGGTGCAATCAGAACTGATTGCACCCAAGTTTTTGAACTTTCTCGAGGGAATGAAAGGTAAGAGATATCCATTTCCTTTCACCTTCGTTCTCAATAATTAACTTATAAATTTTTTAAAGCAAAAAAAGTCTGATTTTTTTTGACAAGTAAATATATAGGGAATTTATCCGACCAAATAACTGTCACTTTTTCAGTTCACCTCACTTTCCGTAACTCGTCTTACAACACAATAATAAGATTAGATGACTATAACTTAGCTACGGACGACGGTGAGGAATAAAGGATGAACGTTTATTTTTAAAGCTTATAAATGAGTTCTTCATCAAGCTCTCGTGAACCTTCACCATCTATGAAACAAACTTTACCAAACGATTATGGAGCACCTATTGAATATTTCTTACGAGCTGCACAATGGCAAAGAGCAGTCTCACCAAGGTTAGGTGTTCCACCAGCTCCTGTCAAAAATAGCATTTGGTCAAGTCCTTATATAAGATATGGTCTCCCACTAGGTTTGCTAGCTACAGCAGGAGCAGTTATGATGTTGAAAAGAAATAAAGCAAATGTTGTAAATAATACTGAAGTAGCTGAAGTTAAACAAACTCCAACACCTTCACCAAAACCAACGTCAAAACCAACGCCTTCACAAGCAAAACCTTCAATGACTCCTGAACCTATGGAAGTACAAACTCCTGTTCAAAAGTCAACTCCTAAACCGACTCCAACATTTAAACCAGAACCTACTCCTCAAATAAATCGTAAAACTCCTGCGTTTCCTTACTGAAAAAATAACGTTATTTTTATTTAATATTAAAATTTTTATTTGATTGAAATGACAAATAAAGTCACTGAAGCAATGAAACAAAAGTTTTTGGTAGAATACATTAAATCAGACTATTCCAGAAGGTTTTTACATTCATACTATGAAGGATGGTAGAGTTCAGTTTAGAAAGATAAAGCAACCATTAGATAAAGAAGGAATTTTGAGAAAGATTAAACTTCATGAGGACAACATTGCTAAACTTAGGAAGAAGTTAGAAGAGTTGGAGAAAGGAAGAGAGTTATAAAGCAATGAATTCAACAGGGTGAAAAAACAGGTGAAAAAACAAGTGAAAAAAGAGGTGAGATCTCACCACTTCACCTAAATTATTTTGTGCTATGTTTTCATACGTGTGAGGGTGGTGATATCATTAATTTTAAGTTTATTTTTATATAAATGACAGAACAAAAGCAACTCATACAAATCGAAAAATATAACAAACATACATTTAAACATTTATTCTTCCTTCCTGAGTATAACATGTTCTTTACACTTCATCCTAGACCAGTAGATTATACATTGACTGTGTATAAAATTGTCATGGTAGTTTTATAAAAACTTATGATGATGAAGGTAAGTTAACAAGACTATGCATTTCAAAACTTGAGAAACTTTATGACTTCAAGTATGACTACAATAGAGTTAACATTGACGATGAAGATATAGAAAAAATTTATGAGAACGTTTATTTTTTCATTAGTGAGTTCGTTAGTGAGGTGAAATGTTTGGTGGTTTTGTAAATATTTAAGGTTAAGTTAGTTTGCGTTTGATTTGTAAAATATACGTTAACGGTTTCGTAAAGTGTCAAATTCACATATCATGGGTAAGGAGGCGCGCAGTGCCGCCGTACCCAACTAACCCATACTAACTTTGTCGATACAATATAGTTCCATATCCTAAGTAGCACTTTAAAAGTAATTATCGATGAGAGTAACTTAGTCGGAAACTCTTAATAGATATATTAAATTTCGCACCGATCAATAGTATTCGAGATTTACTAATAAGGATTTCTTAATTTTTTAAAAACAAAATCTTAAGTCTTTAAGGGTGCCCTATAGACGATAGACCACCCTCAGAAAAGCACTTTTAAGGCTATTATATTGAGAACTAGAATCTGGATAATCCATTCATTCGAGTTCTAATAAAATTAATTTGTTGATGTTTACATTATCGTTATAGGGCACCCTTAAAATAGGAGAATTATAATCAATTTTTTTAAACAGTGAAAAATTGATATTCAATCCCAACAATAAACATTTATCGGTTAAAAAGAACGATACTATGAATGTTGTCCAAATATGAGAAATCCACAAGATTTTGAAATTCCAGGAGTAAGGGTAATTTTAGCTAAAAGTGACACACCGTGAAGGGTGTGATTACCGATCGGTAATTTCGACAGTTTAGAATTTAAAATTTTTTATGGAACTGTTGCGAGTTTCATAAAGAATTTAAGGAATATAAGCAAAGATTTGAATCAAAATCTTAGACCTAAGCCGCTCGATTCGCTCGCGGCTTCCGCGATTACAGATCAGCAAAGATTTGAATCAAAATCTTCGAACTAAGCCGATCGCTTCGCTCGCGGTTTCTTTATTATTTTTTAATTTGCATATTTCCATCAAAAGTTCATAAAGTAAAAAATTTCGTTTATTTTTACTAAGAAAAAAAAGGTTTTTGATAATAAATTTATTTTATTTCGAAAAAGTAACAATAATCGTAAAAGGGTATTGATAGGCTTGCTAAAGTAACTAATTTTAGCTGTCAAATACTTTTGTATTTTGAAGTAAATTAGTATAAATTTGATATTATTTTAACTCCCTTTGAAAACCTCAATTTTCCATACAGAGGGAACGGGAATAGCATCCAATATTCCCTGAGAATGGTTGCGCATTCTCAGTTCCCTCTATATTTCGAACGAAGCTCTCATCGGTCTTTTTTTTAATACTAAACGTTTTTTTTCTGTCACTTTTAGCTAAAATTTGGGTTTGCCGGAAGAAATATCCTTTTGATTTTTTTTTCAGATTGTTATGAAAATCCTTCATTTAAATTAAAATCCATTTAAACTAATTAATCATTTAACGTATTAAAATTCCAAATAAACGAAATGCACATTTTCTGAAAAATTTAAAAAACAAATTTCAAATGTTGAAGACGCAATATTTGAATTTGTTTTTGTTTTTGATTTTTGAACTTTTCAAGAATCTTCTGAAAAATTGAATATTTTTCAACCTTTTCATCCATTTATTTTTTAATTATGCCAAGATACATAAACAACTTGATAATTTACGAGAAATTTCGAATTAATTCATAGAATACTCGGCCATAATAAATTAATTGAATTCCAACAAAATTATACAATGTATATTAATGACCATTATTCAAGTATACGACTCAAAATTTTTCAATCATTTATTTTTGTAATTTTTTTAAACTTTGCTAATATTATGATAAATTTTTGGCTTCTTCAGAAAATTTTGTCCTATCAACTTTTTCATGAAAATTCAAACCTTATGAATTTATTGTATGCATGCGATCTGAGGAAGAATCGAGCAACAATCCAACCTTAGAAGTTGCATTCGAATCTCAAGAGATTAATTCTCCTTTTTTAATTGATCAAGTTGTCATTGACTTTTGTTATAATCTTTTCTGGCTGTTTAATTGGGTTTATATTATTCAGATCAAATCATTTTTCAGAACGTTTCATCCATGCAACAAGTCATATCATTACTATACCTTGCATGTCGATCTAAATATTGATCATTTTTCAGATTTTCATCACTATGTAAAAATTTGGATTGCAGAAAAGCTAAATTCTAAGGCAAAAGGAATTTCACAAAGACCATTAAATTATACAGTAGATGTTACTGGCTTTAAAAAGAATTCCACTACCGGATTCTATCGAACACCCACATTAATGGATGGTTCAAGTTCAGTGATAGCGATACATCCGATAGAGTATTCGTATCAAACGTATTAGTTAACTCAACATTCGATTTAGCTAATGTACACATGATTATAAACTCTGATTTCGAAAATATCAACGGATTATACGTTTATTGGCAGTATGTTACATCAGAAAAACCGGCATTTATTGTTGGGTTGAGACTATTAATCATTCTAACATCGGTTTATCTCACCCATAATTACATTATGGGTTTAGTTTCCCGGTATTGAACTATTTACGCAAGGATCTACTATAGTTCTTGGAATATTATCATGTCTTGCATCTTTTCCATTTAATATGTTTTTCAATTCAAAAATTATGGATGTTCCTCAAGTATTCTTTGCAGCGATCATGGTTTCATTTTTCCGCTACGTAGTATTAACAGAGATACAGCTTGAGGCAGAATGCAAACAAACTCCTACAATGAAATACAACGTATTTTTTATCATTCTCTTTTCGATTTATTCAATCACTGAATTAGCTCTTACATTTTCTATAACATCGAAAAGTTTCATCCTTGTCAATATATTGAATGTTTGAATTATATATATGTTGGAATTTCCGTATTTATAACAATAATGGCATTTCTTCGATATGATAATGGATACACTAGACGTCTTATCTTTATGTGCACTCTTGAACTGCTCTCTTTCCTTTTTTATATTTCTCTTCCATATGTAGTCGAGATGCCTCTACATCGCACATTGACATTTGGTGCAGCACACATATTTATGATATCGTACATGCTTGCTCTCCTTCAGATTTTTATGAACCGCAATATAAATTCTCAAGAAACTGATCAATCTTCACTTCTTTCTAAAGAGACATCTGCTGTTGACATAAACCTTCAGCCAGATTTAGAAGATGAGAATGAAACTCCATTAGAAAATTAATCACCTCTTAATTTACGGATATTAGAAATAAAGGCATTTGTTTTAGAGCATTTTATTAACTGAACCACATTTTTACTTGATGAATAAGTAAGGTTTTGAAAAATCATCAAAAAACTTTATTCATTCTTCATTTCTATATAGAGATGCAGGTTTATCACATCACATAATGAAATAAAAAACATTTTCTATCAAAATATTATGACTTCAATGTCAAGTTCTTCCATCAGAATAAAATTTGTTCAGTTTTAGTAATTTCACCCTTAGTATGTTGAACATCTTTATTAGTAATAGCTGCTGATTTGATAAATGTTTCTACATGTTGCAAAAATATCTTAATTTCAAGAAAAACAAGATTTGTTGTTTTTCAGGTTCATGACTTGTTTTATCATAAAACAGCAAATCCGAGTCGTCTCTATTAAGTTTAATAGTCTGATAATTTGGCGATTTCATTGGTTGCAACTCTTCCTCTTGAATTAACCTCAGCTAAACTTCTTTTTCATCCAAGGGAAGTATATAATGTTCTTTAAAAAAAGTTTGATTTTCATATTTTGTTAGTAGTATATGAGGACGGGTTGTGTGACTTTTTTTGTAATCGTAAGAATTCTCACATAATTGAATGATTTTTGAACATACTTCTGAATAGCAGATTTTAAAATAATGAATAATTTATAAAAAATTTTATTCCTACAATTCCTATATTACCATTAATAAAAAGAATATATTTTTGCATAGATTCCAAATATGGTGTCAATTTTTTAAAAAATTTTGAATTCAATGAGTTATATCAAAAATAAAATTCTTGAATAGAGTAAAAAATTTAAATAATTTATTTAAATATTTTCTTCTGACATTTATGAATAATTTATTTTTTTAATTCGTAAGAAAATGAGTGATCAAGATTCGTAACCGTCAATCAATTAATGGATGCTCTTTCACCAATTCTTGAAAATGTTAAACAAGTAGATGTTTTATTTCGATGATTATATAGAAAGTTTATATTATAAAGGTAAACATAATATTAAACCCATTGCTTTTGCATTTGATAATAAATTAATTGAAAATGCAAAAATTTGGGAATTATTCCAGATATTGAATTTATAACAAATATTAAGGATAAATGGTTCAAACGAATTCCAACCACAAAGTTCTTTGTAAATTAATGATCAAAACTGAGGAAAAAGAATTTCATGAATTTACATATCATCCAAATAAAGTTTCAGAACTAGAAAATGAAAAACTTCAGAAAAAATTAAACGATAGACTTTCAAATGATCGTATTGAAAAAATAAATAAACTAGCAGAAGTTGCATTTAATAATGAAATATTTGATGAATATAACCTTGAACTCAGTGATGGACTTTAAGTCCTGGGCACTTTTGTGTCTTGGACTTTAAGTCCTGGGCACTTTGTGCCTTGGACTTTAAGGACCCGGGCTCAACGAGTCATGATTTATGAAATCAATTATTTGATTCATTCTTTCTTCAATAATTTCTATTCTTTTTGTTAAATCATCTATTTTCATTAATGAGGTGATTCTTGATTGAGGAATAGATTTCAAACTAATCACTCCTTTTATTTTTGAAATTTGAATCCATCAACTTTAAACATTTTATTCAATTTACATGTTGTCAATTCTTCAAATAATTTTTTATTGTTAGCATAATAGTCATTAAATTCTTCAACAGATGAAAAAATTTTTATTTCAGTAATTGGTTTAACAACGTTTTATTTTTTGTTGAACATCTTCACTTTCATTTATTTCTTCGTCCTCTGTTTCATTTATTTTTAAAATTGGTTTCATTTATCATTAAATAAAAATTAGAATATAAGTGATGAAATATATTTTTTAATTAATATTAAATCAGAAATGGCTGCAGGATTCTTTAAAAAGTTATGGGAAGGAATTAAGAAAGCTGCAAGTTGGGTTCATCAGAAAATAATAAAACCCATTGCAAACTTTTTGGCACCAGTAGCGAAAACGGCAGGAACTAACATAGGTGGAGTATTAGGTGCTAAAGCAGGTAATCCAGCGATGGGAGCACAAGCAGGTAACGCAGTTGGTGGAATTGCTGAAGGAATACTTAATAAAATAGGAGGAAAGTAGTGGAAAAATAAATATTATTTTTTATCTCAATATCGGTTGTAGTCGACGATAAACTTTATCTCCTTTATTTAATACTTCCCTTACCGGAACATTAGGTGCTATTTGTTCTGCAACGTCACTAATTGCTTCTTTATTCTTAAATATCCAATTTGCTCCCTTCTTCATTGTTTCCCAAACTTTATGCGCTCCTCTTTTTACTTTATCCCATAACTTTTTAAAGAATCCTGCAGCCATAGTTGATTATTTCATTAAAATTAAAAATTCATTTTCATCTTTTAATTTTGATTTTTTTATTTCATCATAAATGACGACTAACTATTTAGTGCCAAACACTAAACCGATTAATGGAAATGTATTTCATTCATTCGAAAAGATAAATGAAATATTCGCAAAGAATGATGGTAGAAGATATTATAGAAACTTGAAAGTTCATGCTATGACTCTGATACTCATATTTTGATGATAAACAAACTCATTTAAGAATTACAAATCCGGCTCATGATGTGAACCAATTAGGTGACACATATATTAAACGCAAAGTTAAAGCAACTCTAGTTTCAAATAAAGCTTTCACATGTGATGCCGCTTTTTAAATGCATGCGTTTATTCGTTGGTTACAAATCATCAAATCAAAGCTTTAAGCAATTAGAAGTAGAAACCGAAAGAGGTGATGCCGGTTTCTTTCAGATGGATTGCGCCCGTGAATCTTTCGCATTTGCAACATATAAACCAAAATCAGAAAGGAAAGTTAAAAAGTTTGTTCATTCATTATATAACAATGTCCAAAAATATGATAACTCAGGCAATCAGAACTGATTGCACCCAAGTTTTTGAACTTTGTATACGGAATTGTTGGCTATGATGTACTGATCATGAATCAGTACATCATAGCCAACAATTCCTTCGCAAACAGCGGGAAACTTTGTCTGAATAGTTTAACATTCAGACAAAGTTTCCCGCTGTCAGGGAGGGAATTAGAGGGTAAGAGGTATATATTCATAATGTATACCTCTTACCCTTTCATTCCCTCGAGAAAGTTCAAAAACTTGGGTGCAATCAGTTCTGATTGCACCCAAGTTTTTGAACTTTGTATAAGGAATTGTTGGCTATGATGTACTGATCATGAATCAGTACATCATAGCCAACAATTCCTTCGCAAACAGCGGGAAACTTTGTCTGAATAGTTTAACATTCAGACAAAGTTTCCCGCTGTCAGAGAGGGAATGGAAGGGTAAGAGGTATATATTCATAATGTATACCTCTTACCCTTTCATTCCCTCGAGAAAGTTCAAAAACTTGGGTGCAATCAGTTCTGATTGCACCCAAGTTTTTGAACTTTGTATACGGAATTGTTGGCTATGATGTACTGATCATGAATCAGTACATCATAGCCAACAATTCCTTCGCAAACAGCGGGAAACTTTGTCTGAATAGTTTAACATTCAGACAAAGTTTCCCGCTGTCAGAGAGGGAATGGAAGGGTAAGAGGTATATATTCATAATGTATACCTCTTACCCTTTCATTCCCTCGAGAAAGTTCAAAAACTTGGGTGCAATCAGTTCTGATTGCACCCAAGTTTTTGAACTTTGTATACGGAATTGTTGGCTATGATGTACTGATCATGAATCAGTACATCATAGCCAACAATTCCTTCGCAAACAGCGGGAAACTTTGTCTGAATAGTTTAACATTCAGACAAAGTTTCCCGCTGTCAGAGAGGGAATTAGAGGGTAAGAGGTATATATTCATAATGTATACCTCTTACCCTTTCATTCCCTCGAGAAAGTTCAAAAACTTGGGTGCAATCAGTTCTGATTGCACCCAAGTTTTTGAACTTTGTATACGGAATTGTTGGCTATGATGTACTGATCATGAATCAGTACATCATAGCCAACAATTCCTTCGCAAACAGCGGGAAACTTTGTCTGAATAGTTTAACATTCAGACAAAGTTTCCCGCTGTCAGAGAGGGAATGGAAGGGTAAGAGGTATATATTCATAATGTATACCTCTTACCCTTTCATTCCCTCGAGAAAGTTCAAAAACTTGGGTGCAATCAGTTCTGATTGCACCCAAGTTTTTGAACTTTGTATACGGAATTGTTGGCTATGATGTACTGATCATGAATCAGTACATCATAGCCAACAATTCCTTCGCAAACAGCGGGAAACTTTGTCTGAATAGTTTAACATTCAGACAAAGTTTCCCGCTGTCAGAGAGGGAATGGAAGGGTAAGAGGTATATATTCATAATGTATACCTCTTACCCTTTCATTCCCTCGAGAAAGTTCAAAAACTTGGGTGCAATCAGAACTGATTGCACCCAAGTTTTTGAACTTTGTATACGGAATTGTTGGCTATGATGTACTGATCATGAATCAGTACATCATAGCCAACAATTCCTTCCCAAACAACCCGAAATTTGTCTGATTCCACACTAATTTATTAATTTATCTAAACTTTTATCTCTTGTTCTAGATAAATTATCATCAATAATAATCTCTTGTTCTATTTCACTATTATATATATATATATTTATATGATTTGATTTAAAAAAAATAAATAAATAAATTAATAAATCATTTACTCAAATATATCAAAAGTTTTATTTTTATATATAAAGATAACTACTTTTAAAAAAAAATACCCTATATATTTTTGCCATGTAAACTTGTCACTTTTGTCAGAAGTGAAGTGAACCGAATTTTCATGCACAACAAAAAACAAAAAACGAAAATAATTCCGTACATTTTTTATTCCGAAATTTCTAAAAAGTTTACCATTGCAGCGGATTCCATGCGGATTTACCATCGGTTACCGTATGAACAGGCCTATAGCTCATTAATAATATCTAAATTTTCTAATAAAGTTCTAAAATATTTATTTATTTCAAATCGTATTGCATGAAATTATTTGACAAATATTAGTTTAATGCTAAACTAAAACGTATCATTCAAAGAAATGCAATTTAATTCCCAATCAAAATTTAACCTTCTAATTGCTTGAAACACTAAAGTTATTAAAAATTTATATAGTCACATGTTTAAAAATGCCTTAATATTAATTATTATTGGTAATTTCTAACTTTGCAAACTTTTCATCGAATTTCATATCGTTGTAATAGCCAGTTTATACATGTAATTTTTCCATTTAAATCAGTTATCCTATAATCCCTTATAGTAAGAAATAACAATTAAAACTGTTTTATGTTTCTCTATAAACTCCAAAATACAGCATTAAGCAGACAAATAGCCACACATTCATTTGTAGAAAGCCAGATTATATCATATCAATAATCTACAGGAAAAATCTTGAATGAACAAGATTAATTATAGATAGAACATTAAACAAATATCTGAGATCAATATGCTACATCTCATTGCAGAATAATCCATGCAAAAACCTGTCAATTGTGAATTGGAAATTGCCAAATCTAAAATTTGAGTATTAAAAAGGGACATATTTAAGTAACATATAGAATGACTTATGAAAAAAGTGTAAAAGGTAAATTTAATTCGAATTGAAAAATTTGTAATCGGATTCATAAATTTTGTTATATGATATTCTTTAATGATAATATTGGTCATAAATTCTTTGATTGCTTAGAGTTTTCATTCGGAATGCTAGATTTTCAAAATCAAATTGATTTCTTCACTTGAGAAATAAGCTATAAATTTAGATATACTTTAAAATAATATATGAGCAATTAAAGATGAATAAAAAAGAAAAAATTGCGGTTAATTTGCTCTTTAATAATGATTCATTATTTCATTAACATATATTAATCTTTTTTTTAAATAACACTTTTTAAAAGAAACGATCGAATTCCTATTGAAAAAATATGAACCTATCGACTATTTAAAAAAACTGCATGATATTGTACATGAATGCAATGTTAATTTTATAACATATAATTGTTTTTCTATATTTTCAATCTAAAAATTTTCAGAAGCATAATAATTAAAAATGCAAGGTTAACAGTAATATTAAAAATATACGATGACAATTTTTTTATTGCGAATAATTCTTTCAAAAATTTCTGTGCGAATTTCTCAAAAAAATTCACAAAGGTTTTTACAGAACCTTAGCGAAAATATTTAATTCATGATTGCTTTGATAATTCACTAGATTCAAGATAACCAAGTAAAATTTTGAGAATGATAATTTGAAATCAGGTATATTTATACTACTCTTGCCTATATGTTTTATCCAATTTTGATTAATCGCAAAAGTTTGAATTCATAACAATTCTCAAATATTTAACTCTGAAGAATGAATCAAGTTAATGCGGTTCCGCCTTCGCAAAGTGGAAGTACTCGCTCCCAAACATCAAATATTGAAATTAAGCAGAGTGAAAGCACAGTTTCGTTGTTATTTCCGTTATTTTCGGCCGTATTCCAAAATGCTAAGATTCCTGTAGCCTTTTCTATGCTGTTTTTAATGATGTTCTTCTTCCAGGCGCTTTGTGTTAGCTATTGGCCATGGGATAGATACTGGTCTGTATACAACAACAACTATTCGATCAAATTACTGAAAGAAATCTTCTTTTTTGTGCCACAGCCAGCAACTCCAACAGGTTACATAATACTCTCATGCATTATTTTCGGCATTAATGTTATTTCATGCTCACTTATCGCTTTTCAAGTAGCTTATTACCACTTAACAAGAAAATTTATTAACTTCTTGAACTATCCAATTAGAGCTTACTTCGATACAATTTTGGTTGGTACCATGGTTCCATGCTTAGTCGATTTCGGCGAATGCTTTTTACTTATTGCCAAAGGAAGCAAAAATGCAATGGTTATTGTTTCGATGGTTCTTTTCTTTTTCTCATTAATTTTCGAGCTATCATCATTTATTCTTGTACAAAGCTTTGCTGCCAAATCCATTTGCATCAACCCTTCGCCAATGTTGAATTTTGATCCAACCATCATGACCTCAACTCTTATCGCGATGATTGTTTCTATTTTATCATTCTTCTTATTACTTTTGTTCGAAGATTGGGCTCCTTTGTTCGCTATCGTCATACATATTTGTATTTATATCTATGAAGAGTATTATCTTGAGAAGCACTTACCATTTGTCGATGTCTTTACCAACTCCATGTCATTTGGCTGGTTCATAGGCTGCCTTATCGGTGATGTTTTAATGTTTATCCTACATTTTGCTACAAAAGTCAACTACAAGATCCCAATGATCCTTATCTTTGTTTCTTTCCTGTTCTTTACATTCATTGGCATGGTCGTCAATACAATCAAGGTCAAAAAGATCGTTGGTCTTCTGATGAGAGTGAACAAGACACCAGAAGATGCAAACGAGTACTATAGAGAGCTTAACCTTGACCAAGACATGTCGAAAGCGCTTCTTTATTTCAAGATCGCGTTCCAAAATTATTGTCCTTGTTATTATGACATGACATTGGCCAATTTCATAGCAGAGAACTTCGATGAAGAGATCATTATTGCAACAGTACTTCAAATCATCACTTTCTTCCCAATGGAGACCAGATTACAATCAAGATTCCAGTTATTACTCATGAAAAGAAGGAAATTGTCAGTTCCTGCCCAATTTTTGTTGTTCCAGATCGAAGCAATCAAGTCTTTGAGACAATTTTCAGCATCTTCATTGGCTAAACTGAAATTAGTTGACTTGAAAACAATGAGTCGAAACTGTGAAAACATGACAAAATCAGGATTAGACATGAAAGAGGCCAAGATCGATTATTTCGAGCAATTGGCACAGAAAACAACACGTGCACGAGTTATATGGACAGAATCACTCATGCAGCAACCAAACAATGCAAGGTTCTATGAAGAATACACGAGATATCTCATTGAAGCAGAATCAGATTTCAAAGAAGGATTGGCCATGAAAAACAAACAAACATTGTTAGAAGCAGGAGCAAACTTTTCCATTGATTTATCATTTAGATCGATGGTTGAGAACTTCCCGAAGTATTTAACTGATGGAATCATTGATACAAAAGGAAAAATCCTTCAAATGCAACATAAAGGTCCAAAAGAAAACTCATCAGCGAATAACTCTGTCTCAACAAATAATTCTCAATCAGCATCAAGTGGCTCTGAATCAACAGAATTAGATGATTCTGTCATGGAATTTCTTGGAAAATCAACACTTAAAATGGCCAGACCAAGATTAGCATTACATTCCATGTTAGAAACAAAGATTCCTTTATCTGTTTCTATCGTCAAACCTGTTGCTACTATTATTGTTATTTATGTTATTGTTATGTTTATTTCTTTCGATGTTTACACTAATTCTGTTTTGCATGAACATGTTGGAACCATGAAATTCCTTGAGTATTTCTCTCAAATGCGTTTCAACACTGCTTTGTCTACTATCAATATCATTATAGAATACGGTCGTGAACATGGAATATTTGATAAATATAACAATCAAATGCTGACAATGTTCAAAACTGATGATCATTATTACATTGATATGTTTGTAAACATGTTACCATTAATTGTAAGTTTTACAAGTAGTTCATCAAGTAATTTCGGTGCTTTTATTAATTTAGTAACTAATTATTCGTTACAAGGATATGATATTTCTTCTTTCAAAAAGCACTTTGGGATTCAGATTTGATATATTATATTTGTGGACCAACAGGTTCACCTGCAGGCGCAGCAACTGTTTCATTCCAAAGTGTTTATGCCGGATTGGCTGGTGCTGAAAGAACTCTTTCCGGATATGATAATATTTCTGATGCAATGCATGATCCGAATGCATGTGAAATATCAACAAATTTCATGAGTTTCCACAACGGAGCAACTTATGTTTCAGGAAATATTTCTTCATATCAAATCAATAGAGGTAATGACATAAAACACACTTTGTTATTGTTATCAATTATTTTACCAACAATAACATTCTTGATTTTGTTTGTTCCTGTCATTATTATTCATTTCTCAACGAATAAAATGTTGAGAGACATAATGGAAATTATCAATACAATTGATTCGAAAGAGAAGATAGAAGCAAGAGATAATACTTTGATGCAAAACAATGAACAAGCAAGTATCATTGAAATTAAATCAGAAAAAGGACCAAGTACAGGAATTTTGGCTGTCATTTGTTTGATGTCACTTTTAACTTTGGCAATGACATTGATATCAGGTTTATACATCATTAAACTGAACACAAACATAAAGAACTTAAATGGCTGGAATATTTACTCAGCAATGAGAGTTTCTTTATTAGCTGAATCCTTGAATATGTTAGTTTCTTGTGTCATTGTTCATGATTATCCATATGATTTCACATGGTCATCAATGGATGATTTAGTTACTTCTACTTATTTCGTTACGAGCAAATTAGTTGATGCTGATAATAAACTAATTAATGGATCAGATACAACAGTTCCTATCCAAGGTTTCGATGAAACTCTTGATAATATCAATATTTATGATGATTTAATGCAAAATACAAGTACATTAGATCCACAAGAATACTATAATAATTTATCAGCACATTCTTTAATTGGTGTCTATTCTAATTACGTAACTTCTATTATGACACAAATATCAAATGGTCAGAATTTGTCAGTTCCTGATGTTGCTAATGCAATTTATATTCCTAATGATAGATTGATCTACAAATTAATACAATCTAGAAAACGTTGTTCTGAATTGGCAACTGACCAATTATCAAAACTGAAAATCTTTTACATTATTATTGCTGTTTGTGTAATATTTTGTGTTGGTGTTTATATTACTTTTGTTGCAATGTATTATAATAACAGATTACGTACATATCGTGCTGCTTTGTTCATTGTTAAGAGATTTTCTCCATATGTTTTACTTTCCAACAAAATGTTCAATAAAGTTTTCCTTAAAGGAAACAACCTCAAAAACAACAAGAAAATGTCTATTGAACATTCTATCATTCAGAACGCAAATGACTCTATATTCTGCACATCATTACAAGGAACAGTTGAAACAGTTAATGACTCTGTTCAAAGACTACTTGATTATACACCTGAACAGTTACTTGGCCAGAAAGTTGATTTGTTCTTCGCAAATGCTGATGGAGAAACATTACGTCAAAAACTCGAAATGATGAAAGAAGGACAGATTTCTCAATTTTACGAAGATGATTTCACAGCAATCTCTGATACAACACAAGAAATTCCTGTCCATACATCAATCATCGGCATGATCAAAGAAAATGAAACAAAAATCAACTCATTTGTAATTATTTTAAGAGATCAAACAGCATTAGTTAAACAAAAGAAACAAGCTGAAGATGCAAAAGCTAAATCCGAAAAACTTCTTTATCAGATTCTTCCACGTGATATTGTTTTGCAACTTAACAAAAGTGAGAAAGATATTTCTTTTGTTGTTCCTTCAGCGACGATTATTTTTGTTGATATCAACCGATTCTCAGAATACGCAGCAAACTTGAGTCCACAAGATATCATGGCCAATTTATCACTTTATTTTGCATGTTTGGATAAAATGGCATCTCGACATAACATGATCCAAAAGATCAAGTTGATTGGGGATATCTATATGGCAGCTACCGGCTTGTTCAATCCAGATGTCTCTCCAGAAAGCCATGCAGAACAATCAATTATTTTTGGATTCGAATGTATCCAATCATTGGATGAAATCAACATGCGATTGGAAGCAAACTTGGCGATCAGAATTGGCATCAACAGTGGTGGTCCAATCATTGCAGGTGTTTTAGGCACTGATAAACCTGTCTTCGATATCATTGGTGATGCTATAAACATCTCAGCGAGATTGCAGACAACATGCGAAATCAACCATGTTCACATCTCACAGGCAACATATGATTTAGTTAAGGACATGAATTTCGAGTTGACTAAGCGTGGTGAAACATTCCTTAAAGGAAAGGGCAAACAGATGACATACTATGCATCTAGTAGTATCTTTGTTCTGAATCACTCAGATATTTCTGTTTAAAATATATTGTTTGTTTTAATTTAATCTTCTTTTTTCAAAGATATAATATAATTTAATTTAAAATACTTTAATTTGTTTCTGATATTATGAATAGTTAATTTAATACATATGAAGTTGCTTCTGTTAACTTTTTTTTTTGAAAATATCGATTTCATATGCTATTGAATTAGTGAAAAAAAGAAAAAAATGAATATGAAAGTACTCCATTAATTGTTTCATGCATGAATAGATCACTTCAACTTATAAAGTCTCTTATTAAAGGAGGTTGTAAAAGATTTGTTGTTGATCTGTAAGGAAATAATTCTTTTATGATTGCAGAAATTCATGGAAAACTTAACATTGTAAAATATTTAATTAAAATTGGTTTTGATAAAAATTGGAAAAATCGTGATGTATTTAATTCAATTCTTATGGCATCAGAACATTGAGAACTTGAAGTTGTAAAGTATTTGATAAGTATTGGCTGTGATGTCAATTCTGAAACATATCATAGCGCAAATTGCATTCACTATTCATCCCAAAATGATCATATTGATTTAGTTCAATATCTAGTTTCTTTCTGATGAAATCCATATTAGAGATCCAGATATGTGTCCATCTTGATGTAGTTAAATATCTCACTTTGAAACTGTTGAATATTTAGTTTCAATTCGTGTAAAACTTATTGATGAAGACAATGCTGGAAAAACAGCACTTGATTATGCAAAAGAAAAATAAAATATTAAGGCTGCACTTACGCCCCTATGACAGGGATTTCAATTTGGATGTTTAAGGTTAAATTTCAAGGGCGCATCACGCCAGTTGTCAAAAATTTGAATTAAAGTCAGATGGGCGTAAGTGCAGCCTTAATATATGAAATTATTATTTTAGTAAACAAGATACATAATTAAATTGATTTATTGATATTAAAATTTTAGGATAGATCAATCAACTTAAATGAAATGCAGAAATATTTATATAGATTTAATTATTTGAGAGAGAAATAGAAGATTAAATATTTAGTTTATTCAAGAAACAGGTTGTGAGTTAAGACTAATAATGACAAAAGAAAGATGGATATGATGAGATTTATATAATAAAAAGTCATTTGCTGTTTCAGGAAGCAACAGAGGAATACTGATGTTTTCAATAGAGATGTATTCAAGAACATCAATTGTTGTTTTATCATAAATACCTTTTTTGTTATTATAATGAACATAAACATGCTTTTCACCAAAGAAAGCTTTAGATGAATTTGTTAAAATTGTTCGACTTGTTACATATAAATGAGTTCCATATTGAATATGACTTTCGCCTGTGGCAATAAAAGTTCTTGGAACAAAAATATTTTTACAACGATCAAGAAGAACAATATGATTCCAATCATAAATACTGTGTAGTAATGTAATATTGTATATGTTACTAGAACCAGAAAAAGTAATATAACCCCTACAATATGTAACATTCGCTGAAACTGCGACACTTGTTAATGATGTGCATCCATCAAATGCGTTAAGACCAATCTGTGTTTTACTTCCTGAAATTATGATACTTGTTAATGAACTACACTCACAAAAAGCATAGTTTCCAATATAAGAGTCATGACCTGTGACTGCGATATTTGTTAATGATCTGCAATTATCAAATGCATGATCTCCAATATATGTTAAACCATCTGGAATTGTGATACTTGTTAAGTTCCAGCAATGATAAAATGAATAATTTCCAATAGATGAAATACTTCCTAGAATAGTGACATTAATTAATGATTTGCATTCATTAAATGAATACTTCTCAATACATAGATCAGTTCCAGAAATTATGATATTTGTTAATTTAGAGTATCTAAATACATCTTCTCCAATATACGATACATTTCTCAGATTTATGATTTCTGTTAATGGACATTTATAAAATGCATTAAATCCAATGTATATTAAATTCCCTGAAATTGTAACACTTGTTAATGATGTGCATCCATAAAATGCAGAAATTCCAATAATTGTTAAGGGTGAACACGAGAGGATCATGTAAACTTCAGAATTTAGAACCTTATTTTTAGGCATTATCTTGGCTACCTATTTAGGCTCGAAAAGCAAAAAATATCAAAAAATACAACTTGAGTCCATTATGACCCTTTCATGGAGGTAGTTTTTATCCGCTAGTATTTTCCCTTTGAATCTCTTTACAATTCGAAATCAAATTCAAAACTCAGTAGAAGAAAGGAAGAATCGACTTACTACGGTTGTAATACGAATAAATACATATATTTAATTATTTTTATTTACATAATAATTGTTTGAAGCTCATATTCCATCAAATTTTTAAATAAAAACATTAAAATGTTGAAAATGTTCATATATTTTAATAAGGTTTTGGCACTTTATTGAGGAATTACTACATACATAGTCGAACTGAACTTGATATTTTGAAATTTAAATTATTTATCAAAATTAAAATTTAACTTGAAATTTATAATTATTTAGTCATATTTTGCATAATTCTAAGTAGATTTTGTAAAAAATCAAGAAAAAAAATTTTAACGTGCTTTATTTTTTCTTTTTTATAATAATACATATTATTATATAATTAACATATTCATAATGTTTCACCCTTTCAAAAATAGAATCCTCCTCCTCTCAAATAAACGTACATACGGGTGGCCTCTTTTTTCAAAAAATTAAAATTTGAAATTTTGGGCTCAAATATTAGAGATTTTTTCAACCTTCAACGATATATGTTGTCTATATCAGACTAGGGATGCGTTAAACACGCCATTTGACCGGGCGTACATTTTTTTTGTTCGCCCAAAAATTTCGCCATTTGAGAAATTCAAAAATTAAAAATAAAATTTTAATCTTGATTTTTTTATTTTCGTGATTTTTTTGAAACTAACATAAGCGATGAAATACTTTTTTTAAGTAATTGTTTATTATATATTGTTGTAAACAGAAATTCATCAAAAGTGACACCTCAGAAAAGCTAAAATATTGAATTTTTGGAACTTTTGATAGAGCACGTTTTTAAATATTAATTAAAGTAAATGTATATTTTGTAAAGATTCTTTTTAATAAAAAAATAAAATTTTGAAGAAGAACACAAAATCTTCTGAAAAATAATATCACATAAACTCATATTATTTTCTAATATATAACTATTTTATATAAAAATCAAATTCAATGATCTTAAAAGCGAAGGATAAACCTCAAAATTTACGAATATAATGAGTGGGAATATAATGCTTATCTATCATAAAACCATATGAAATATCAATTTTTGCTTTACGCCTAATTTTTGACGACAATTAGCAAAAATTGTTAAATGTTAACACTCAGTCCATTTGAATATGAAAAATAAAATTGACTTTGATTAAATGTTTTTATTTATCATGCAATTCTTCTTGCGACCAAAGATTTGAATAAAAGTTCAAAAATAAGATAGCTTAAAAAATAATATACGGTAGTGTTTACTAATAGATGAATAGTATATAAATTCTATTAAAATGGATTTGATCCAAAAAATATAAAACCAAAAATAATTGTTATAATTTAAATGAAGAAGTAATTTAAAACGATTTTATTTATGATCAAATTTTATATATTTTTTTGGATCAAATCCATTTTAATAGAATTTATATACTATTCATCTATTAGTAAACACTACCGTATATTATTTTTTAAGCTATCTTATTTTTTGAACTTTTATTCAAATCTTTGGTCGCAAGAAGAATTGCATGATAAATAAAAACATTTAATCAAAGTCAATTTTATTTTTCATATTCAAATGGACTGAGTGTTAACATTTAACAATTTTTGCTAATTGTCGTCAAAAATTAGGCGTAAAGCAAAAATTGATATTTCATATGGTTTTATGATAGATAAGCATTATATTCCCACTCATTATATTCGTAAATTTTGAGGTTTATCCTTCGCTTTTAAGATCATTGAATTTGATTTTTATATAAAATAGTTATATATTAGAAAATAATATGAGTTTATGTGATATTATTTTTCAGAAGATTTCATTCTATATGCCTATGAAAAGTACTCTCAAAACTAACTTTTTCCTAATTATAATTAAATCTAGAATATTGTATTATGCTTAGTATTATTTCATTTTTCTCATTCAATTTAGAATTTACAAATGTCAAAAAATTGAGAGCTGTCACTTTTGATGAATTTCTGTTTATTACAATATAAATATATCTTAATAAATTTAATTCCTTAAGGTAGAGCGTGTTCAAATTTAAAATCTCATACAATATTTTCTTAATGGCGTATTTTTCTGAGGTCGCCCAAATAAAGGCGAATTCAAAATTGAGAACTCCAAGGCGTATGGCGAGTATTCAAAAAGTACGCCACTTACAAAATATTGAATGTGGATTATCAATTTTTTGGCGTGTTCAATTTCAAATTTTGATATTTATGTTTATTTTATTCAGTATAATGCTAAGAATTAAAATATAAAATTCATAGAATTTTTTCTTTGAAAATATTTTACATTTTTATTCGACCACTCCTAGACTAGTCATCAGGTTATCCTCAGATCATCCTCAGACTACTCCTTATCAGATTACTCATCATCCTCAGACTACTCCTTAGACCCCTCCTCATCAGACTACTCCTCAGATCTTCCTCCTGAGACTACTCTTCAGACTACTCCTTAGAGTCCTCCTCATCAGACTAGTCCTCAGACTACTCCTCAGATTATCCTCAAACTACTCCTCGGTCTAATCCTCAGACTCCTCCTCAGATTATGCTCAGATTATCCTCAAACTCCTCAGATTATCCTCAGACTACTCCTCAAACGCCTCAGTCTAATCCTCAGACTACTCCTCAAACTCCTCAGATTATCCTCAAACTACTCTTCGGTCTAATCCTCAGACTCCTCCTCAGATTATCCTCAGATTATCACTTTACATATATATATCGATAACTAAATAATTACTTATTATACTTTCTTTATTTTTTTTAATTTTAAAATAATATTAATATATCTTTCTACGTTTAATGATGAAAAGAGAAAGAGGAGTAAAAAGAGGAAAGAGAAAAGAAAGAGAGAGAGAAAAAAGAGAAAGAAAGAAAGAAAGAAAAGGGACGGCGATAATTTTGTATTGTTTTGTTATTCGGCCCCAAAAATGACGTATTATTCTATTTTTAAACGGTCATGGCGTAAAACCGTCGCATCCCTATATCAGACCTCCTTTCTTTTTGATACTTAACATTGTTCCTAAATCTTAGCCGTTAAGGCTGTTCTGAAAATATTTTTTTTCGAAAAAATTCGAAAAAAATTCTTAAAATTCAAAAATCCCTTAATTCCTGAAGATTTTGGAAAAAAGTTTTTACATGAACATGTGTATATTATATGAAGTATATTGATAAGGTAAAAATCAAATTTTATTGCATATTCATTGAGAAAATAAACTAACGAATCCCTCAAAATTGAGAGGGTAATCCTCCTCCTCTCAAATAAACGTACATACGGGTGCACCCTTAAATTCCCTGAAATTGTAATACTTGTTAATGAGTTTCCAGAAAATGCACTATTACCAATGTATGTTAAATTCTCTGGAAAAGTGAGGTTTGTTAATTGACATCCGTTAAATGCATTATCTTTAATTTTTGTTAAACTTTCTGGTAAATTTATTGACTGTAAAGGACTTCCAAAAAAACAACTATTTCCTATGCTCGTAATACAATGAGGAAGTTTAACTGTTGTCAAATATTCACAAAATTCAAATATTGAATCATTGAGAAATGCAAGTTTATTGCAATTACTGAAGTCTGCTGATACAATTCTTGCGTAACCAAGACTTTTACTATATATACTTATAATTTCACTGTCTTCTTCAAAACTAATTGAAGTGATATCCTCATAACAATCATCAAATGCATTATGATATACTACTTTGACATGCTTAGGTATAACAATATCACCTCTTGATCCTTGACATCCAATAAGAGCTTCTTTAGTATTTTCATCTTCATATTGAAAACTATTTTCACAAAAACTTTGAGAAAGTAGAAAACAGAACAACACTAAATATTGTTATCATTTATATAATTTTATAGATATCTTGTTGTGCGTATGCTTTTGATTGCTCATCGATATTAAATGCTTCGAAAATTAGAAATTTTATTTTAAAACCATGACAGAATGTAAGTAATTGAAAAATGAATATAATCAATGGATTTTTTTAACTTATATTTGTTATATTTTCTCCGTTGAATTAAAATCAACAATTTTTCAACAAGAAATATGTATAAGAACGATAGTTTACAGGCAGGTAAGCTACAGGAACTGTGAATTCAGTTTGATGTTATGGATTTCGTTTAAAATTCTCTTACAGCTGTGATACAACTTATAAAAATGATTTCAATTTTAACGACCACTAATTATTTTTGTTTTGAATGGATCACAAATTTGAATTATAAATTTTTTTAATATCGGAATTGATATCCATATTTATTATACTAATTATAATAATATTGATTTTTATCGATAAAATTTGATATAAATTCAATATGCTTTTTCAATATTGTTGGGGCATTTTCTTAGGAGAGGGTAAATTTGAATACCATTCAAAAGTAAAAATTCACAATTTGTTCGATTTGGACATATAATCTATTATTATATATAATGTAATTATGAAAAAAAAATAAAATGACCTGCATATATTAATTATTTAGATTGCAAGATTCAAAATAGCTATTAAAATTAGAGACTAAATAAATAGCGGATTGATTCATATGGATTTATGTAATTATGAACATTAAAATAGTTTATTTATTGATCTAATAAAAAAAGAAAAATATTAATGGGAAAATTGAAAGAATAGAGTGTCCCATTCACTCGTGTTGGTCGCAATGTGTCATTCTGGGAGACATTGCCACTGCATGTCTCCCACAATGGCACAATGTTCCGCATTCATAACTTGAATGCGGAACTTTGACCGACAAGAGTGCAGAACACACTCTTGTCGGTCTGCACATATCATTCCTGGAGACATTGCCTCTGGATGGCACAATTTTTTGCAATCACAAAGTGATTGCAAAACAATGACCGACAAGAGTGCATTATGCACTCCTGTCGGTCACAAAGTGTCATTCTGGGAGACATTGCCACTGCATGTCTCCCACAATGGCACAATATTCCTTTGAGAAAGACCTGGAAGGGGGTCCTTTCTCAAGGTCAGGGCCCCCTTCTAGTCTTTCTGGTCCTGAAAGGAGCGCTTCTGACTGGTCTGTGCGATCCTTCCAAGAAGATCAGTAGATTGCGCCAATAAGCTCCTATCAACAAATTTTGACTAAAAATATAAAGTATTCTTTTGTGATTTATCAAATAGCTCAATTTTAAAATAGATTTGATTCTAATAATAAATTGAATGAGTTTCGCTTACGTTTAGAATTTAATGATTTTTTCGTTCACAGAAGAGTCATTGATATCCAATATCACAAAACAGCAAAGACACACCATAATAAATGATATTGAAGCTAAATATTACATATTTCAACATATCTAAAAAATCATTAAGATTAGATCTCATGCAATGCCGAGCAGTTTCCTAAAGCATAATTACTTATTTATACAGAATCATGTATATCATTTTCATATTGCAAATTATATATATTCTCACGAAGCAACATGAAATAGACTGTCCGAATTTAAATTCAAATAAAAATCTAATTCCAAAGATTTTCTTACAATATGTAATCTCGGTGTTGATTACTCGAATACAAAGGATGCACGTAATTTACAAATAGTTGCATTAATAGTAGTACAACAAAAATTTGATTTTTAGCTTGTCACTTGATATATAAAAATTGCAAAAACTCAATCAAAAATAGGATTTGGACAACTTTTTAAAATTGTGAGAAAAATTCTATCGGCACATTCTATTCAATTTTAAAGTATTTCTTTCATATTCCAATCGATTATTCAATAATTGCCAATCACAAATTTTAGTTCAAAATTCAAAAAATCCCTAATTTTAATTTCAGATGAAATCTCGCAAAAATAACATTGTTTTAAAAAAAAAAAAAAAAAAAAGGGATTGGGGCTTCCAGGCACTTCGTGCCCTCTAGCCCCGAAGATGTTTAGATTAAAATTAAAATTTTTATTCTGAAATGTTTGCTTTAATGTTTTTTACGGATGGAAATGAACTGAATATCGTCTGAGTCTTCGCTTGTTTCCTCCTCCTCTTCTTCTTCTTCGTCCGAATTGTCTTCATCTTCACAATAACCAGATAAGAAGATGGTTATTTTGGTTTGTTCTGGTTTTTTGAGAAGCATTTTGGCTGTGCCAGTAAAAACGAACTCAAGATTTTGATAGAATTGTCTGCTTGAGTGAGTGAATTTGCATACTGTAAGTGGCATTGCAACTCGGTTTGCTTGAACAGATATTATTGAAACTTCTTCTCCATCTGGTATCCGTTCAGGAATATCTAAAGCGGCTGTTGTGATAATATGCATATTGTTTTCGTAATGCAATTTTGGATATATTTCGAATGGATGTGCAGCTACACCAGCTGGAGCAACAATGGAAAGATTCCAGGAGAAAGAACCGTGTTTGTTTTCATCTTCTTTCCAATTGTAAGTTAAAGGATAAGGGCGAAAGTCTTTGAGTGTTTCATATAGCTGTTCTCTTAAGTTTGGTTCACAGCAAAGAATGAATTCGTCAATTGCTTGAAGAGATATCATAGTTGAAACATAAGGCAAATTCGACAAGAAAAAGTCAACCATTACTGTCGGGTTTTGAACTTTGTTTTCTAATGTTTCGACTGGTTTTATTATACTTTTGAAATATCTATCATAGTCATTGTTGTCTGTTAAGGACAAATTGTTTGGATAATCTGCAATGAGTCTTCTATATCTTGCTTCTGTTGTTGAGAATGAGAAGACACCTTCTGGTTCTGTAGGAGTGTAAGTTTTTGGTTGAATTTGAGCTTCAATTTGTGTCTGATTGGAGTCTGATTGGACTGAAACAACTTGAGCTTCTGTAGTTTGTTCGACTTCGGCAGTTTCTTTTGGTTGAATTTGAGCTTCAATTTGTGTCTGATTGGAGTCTGATTGGACTGAAACAACTTGAGCTTCTGTAGTTTGTTCGACTTCGGCAGTTTCTTTTGGTTGAATTTGAGCTTCAATTTGTGTCTGATTGGAGTCTGATTGGACTGAAACCTGTGTAACCTCTTTGGACATACTAGTAAAGTATGAAGATATAAGTGTTTGACCTTTAAAGAGCTTTTGTAAAGAATTGTCAGTCATGCTACTACTGTGGTCTTCCATTAGACAAAAATGAACTGTTTTTTCGGACTACTCATAGAAAAGTTTAAAATAAACCGTTTTCGTCAACGGTAACCCCCTCTATTTTTTTATTTTATTGAAAAGTCTCCGTTGGCAAACCGTTCCATCTCAAATATTGAATGAACTATAAACGTTTTTTGTTTTCTATATATACTTTTTTGTCCAACGGTAAAACTTTTTACACAACGGTTTTTGAGAGTCGTCGCCGTTGACTTTTTTGTAGAGCACTCAAAATAGTATAACTTTGTCCGGACAAGTAAGGGTCTATCGTCGCTACAGGAAAAGTTACAGGCGTTCCAAGGAAGTATACTTTGAGAAGCCTTTTCCCCTTATAGAATGAGATAGGACGGTTATTTTACAAAACTGACAACACTTTGACCGAGTAGTTTTTTGTGCTGAACAAAAAGTGTCATATAAACATCTGTCAAAAACCGCTTTTTAACTTCACTTAAAATGCCACGTAAGCTACGTAAGAATATACGTAAGAGGAAGAAGCATTGAAACATCCAATAGTAAAACTAACACCACAACAACAGTTGCAACAACAAATGCTGAATGACCCCACTATGTTGCAACAAATGTCAAGCAATCCTATGCTTTTAAACCGAGTTGTTGGTGCACAGAGTGGAGGTT